CAAGTGATTCTGAGAACCTCTTATTTGGCCCTTTAAGAAGAAAACTGTCTCATCTTCAATAACCTTGCCAGAAATTATCATTATTTCTATTTTACAGATAAGAAAGCTAAGGATAGGTCATTTGCAAAAGGTCAAACAGGTAACAAGTGGCAGAGAAAAAATTCAAGCTGAGATCTTCAAGGACTCTTCACAATAATCCAAACAAATAGTATTTCTCTTAATTTTGAATTGAATCCATAATGATATCAGGATAAAACTATGCCATTAATTTAAATCACAAGACTAATCTCTTACGAGACAATTAGATGCAAAATTGGTATTTATTAATAAATAACTATTTTACGAAGATGTTATACTTATAGGCTATTAACAAAGCTATTAAGAAATGTCTACATAGATAATTCTTTAAAAGTTACATCTTAAAAAGTCCAAGTACTAGTTTAAGTTTCTCACCCTTGAAACTTTTCACTGAAATTCTTATGTTTAAAAACTATGACATTTACATTAATCTCTCTCATGCTGTCCTTGAGAAATAGAAAATGATTTTATAATTTTAGAAAATTTGGCCTATCATAGTATAAAATATTTACCATTATTTATAGATTTCAAGCTACTGATTATAAGCTGGTAGTTCTCAATTGGCACACTATTTTTTCTTACATATTTCAGAGTTACAGGCATTATCAACAAATCTGTTTATCACATCTAAGTTTATTTAAAAGATGCAATTTTTAAAGAAGTTTTAAAAATGCTAATCAAGAAAGTTCCAGACTAAGTAAAGCTTTACAACAGAATAAGGTATAAAGGAAACTGAATGGCTTGCCCAAGAGCACAGAGTTCATTACCAATGACGCCAGAACCTGGGTCTTTTAACTCTAAGAAGAATGCTATTGGTACTACATAATTCTACCTCCAAAAATACAAATATGCTGCCATTTCAATTACATAAAACACAGTGAGACTCAGATTTTGGCTTTTATTTAAAAGTGATGCTTTTTTCCCCAAACCTTAAATTTTTGTTATTTTATTTTTTAATTTAAATTTACTTTATTTATTTTGAAGTAGGGTCTTGCTCTATCACCCAGGCTGGACTGCAGTGGCATGATCATGGCTCACTGCAGCCTCAACCTCCTGGGTTTAAGCAATCCTCTGGAGTAGCTGGGACTACAGGCATGCACTACCATGCCCAGTTAATTAAAAATTTTTTTTTCTTTTGTAGAGATGGGGTCTATGTTGTGTAGGCAGATTGGTCTTGGAGTCCTGGGCTCAAGTGATCCTCCTGCCTCAGCCTCTTAAAGTGCTGGGAATATAGCCATTAGCCACCATACCCAGCCATCATTTTATAGCACAAAAATTATCTAAGTCACTAGGTGAGAGTGAAGAAAAGCAAATAAAATTTCGTAGCTCCAAATCTTATTGCTTGCTCTTCTATCTAATCATCTTAACTTGTTAAAACCTGAAATTCGATCTTATGTATTAAAATGTGGGCATACCTCATTTTATTGCACTTCGCAGATACTGCATTTTTTAAATAAATTGAAAATTTGTGGCGAGCAAACCAGTGCCATTTTTCTAACAGCATGTGCTCATTTTACGTCTCTGTGTCACATTTTCGGAATCCTCACAATATTCCAAACTTTTTCAGTGTTATATCTATTATGGTGAGCAAAGGAAGTGATTTCTTAAGAAGAAATCTACTGAAGAAGATGCCGTGAACAGTGTTGAAATGACAAGAAAGGATATAGAACGTTACATAAACTGAGCTGATAAAGCAGCAGCAATGTCTGAGAGGACTGATCCCAATTTTGGAAGAAATTCTACTCTCGGTGAAATGTTGTCAAATATCAATGCATGCCGCAGAGAAATCTTTCCTGCAAGAAGGAGTCAACTGATGTAGCAAACTTCATTGTTATCTTATTTTAATTAAGATATTGCCACAGCCATCCTAACCTTCAGCAACCACCACCTGAGGCAAGACCCTCCACCATCAAAAAGATTATAATTCCCTGAAGGCTAATGATGATTAGCAATAAGATATTCTTAATTAAGGTAAGTATATTGTTTTTTAAGACATAATGCTAGTTCACACTAATGGACTATATACAGTATAGTATAAACATAACTTTATATGCACTAGGAAAGCAAAAAAACATGTAACTTGCTTTACTGCAGAATGTAGTGGCCTGGAACAGAATCTGCAATATATTTGAGGTCTTGCTATAATATATTTCAACAATCAAATTTCAACACATCTTGATAGAAAAATCACAATATTCATATAATTCTTATATTATGTAGCAAAAAAAAATGGTCTATTAAAAATATGGAATACCCATCTCTTTATAGCTGCACAAGTAGTAATACAAGTTAGTCAGAGCTGGCTACCACCGACAGAGCACTTAGCTGGTGCCAGGCACTATTCCAAGCACTTTACTGATTCTCTAAAATCCTATGAAGTACTGTACTATTATTACCCCATCTTATAGACAAGAAAATCACCTTCTAGGGTCACATGACCTGTACCCAAGCTGTCCAACTTCTTGCAAAAATTTCCTCTCAAAATTCTAAGCCTTCCTATCATGTTCCTTGAAACTCTTGTTGCATTATAAACATATTTCCATGCCTAACTTTTTTTTTTTTTGAGACAGAGTTTTGCTCTTGTTGGCCAGGCTGGAGTGCGATGGTGTTACCTCGGCTCAATGCAATCTCTGCCTCCTGGGTTCAAGCGATTCTCCTGCCTCAGCCTCCCGAGTAGATGGATTACAGGCATGCACCACCACACCTGGCTAATTTTGTATTTTTAGTAGAGATGGGGCTTCTCCATGTTGGTCAGGTTGGTCTCAAACTCCCAACCTCAGGTGATCTGCCCGCCTCGGCCTCGCAAAGTGTTAGGATTACAGGCGTGAGCCACTGTGCCCGGCCTCATGCCTAACTTCTTTACAACAGAATGTCCCTCTACCTTTTCATTTAACAGTGAAGACTAGTCTGACCATTTCAACCGCTGCTACCTTCCCTGTAAGGGAATTTCCTCATTTCCCACACCCACACATCAGTCTATAAATGCCCTGGGTCACAAGCCTCACCCACTCATTCAAAAGTCCCTTGGCTAGGCTGGGTGTGGTGGCTCACGCCTGTAATCCCAGCACTTTGAGAGACTGATGCAAGTGAATCACCTGAGGTCAGGAGTTTGAGACCAGCCAGGTCGACATGGTGAAACTCCATCTCTACTAAAAATACAAAAATTAGCTGGGCATCGTGGTGCATGCCTGTAATCCCAGCTACTCAGGAGGCTGAGACAGAAGAGATGCTTAAACCCAGGAGGCAGAGGGTGCAGGGAGCCAAGATTGCACCATTGCGCTCCAGCCTGGACAACAAGAGTAAAACTCTATCTCAAAAGAAAAACGTCCTTTCTCTGACAAGGACTTAATTCTTAATGCTGCCATAAGCCCTCCTATAATAAATGAAATTTATAGAAAGCACCTCTGGAAAATTCACATACATACAACCTTCTGTGAACAGTCTGATCCATGCCCGCCCCGGAGCACTTCTGAAGCTCTTCCATCTACAGCCTACACACAGCCCATCTGCCATCCCTGCCCGGCAGTCTCTCAAAATGTGGTCCAGAGACCATCCATATCAGAATCACCTAGAATGTCTGTTTTAAACCATTCTAAATTTAAACCACTCTAAAGGCTTGTGGAATAAGGAGTCATTTCAACTTTCTCCACTGGAATTAACTTTAGAATGGACTCCCCAAAGATGGAGCCCAGGAATTCTCATTTTAAGTACTCTCCCCAGGTGACTCTTATGGCTCATTAATGTTTAGGGCCCATCTCTAAGGATACATGACCCTCATTGAGAACTTGTGTCCTAAAACACTCTTTTCTATTCATTTCTGCCTCATCCCTTGGACTCATCCTAGAAGACTTTAACATCAAGATACAAATCTACCTCACCTATGTATTGACTTCCTTGGGGATGGGGAGGGTGTGGTATATTAGCGACCAACTCCTCTGTATGTGACAGAAACCCACTCCTGTTATTGTCACATCCTAGACCCAGAACAACTCCACTTATCAACAGTCCTAATACTCACAGTGTACTCTGCCAAATCTATCCACTCCCTCTCCCACCAAATCTGCTCTTGTGCAACAGTCAGACCCTATCCCATGACTTCTGCTTCCTCCCATCTAGCAAAGCCCTCCTCCAGCTTCAGTGCCAGAGGTGCCCAGCACAGACGACAATCTGTCTCATGCCCTCTGAGACTGACTCCCCACGGACTTCAGAAATACCAACCCGGTACCTTCCATCGCAGAGATGGCCACCGCAGGACTTGGGATGCCAGAGCTACTCAAGCAGGCTGTTACCCTTAGACTCCTTTTCCCTCTCCAGTTCAGGTTGGCCTAGTGATGACAACCATTATAATAACTAATATTTACAAAGCACTAACTGAATTAGGTAACAATTAATTCATTTAATCCTCAGAGCAACTCTATGATAGGGGAACATCATCATCCCCATCATAAACCAGTGACATTGATGCCAAGAGAGATAAAATAATTTGCCTAAGGTCCCATAGGTAGTGTGGACCGAGCTGAGATTCGAAGCCCTCCAGCACCTTTCCACAGCCTGAGCTCAAGTTCATTCCCTCCTGCTCTAGTAATGGAGAAGAGGAGCAAGAAAAGAGCAGCCCAGTCATTTACCATTTGAAGAAAACTAGCTCACAGCTCCTATTTTGCTGGAAAACTTTGCCCTGTGCTCCACTCCTCCATTTTATATTTGAGATTCATGTTTTACCCTCTCCTGAGCTTTTTATAACTCATCCTCAAAATATGGCAACAGATAGTGGTTTTAACAAATGTTTTGGAAAGCTTATTTATCAGTTTTATGTGTTGAAACGTTGTCTATTATCAGCTGCAACTTCTAAACAGTAGCATGTAAAGTAGTATGGAAAACTTCAAGACCGAAAATGAACATTGAGGAAAATTTTTCAAACTCACCTCTTATTTTTCTTGTAATTCTCCAGTTGCTGGGACTGCATATGTTTGCATCTTTCGAATTCACACTGCCCACATAAGTCTTCAAGATGCAGCAGGTTGTTCTCTATCTCCTCAAAACTAGCCTCTAAATGAGCTGGAAGGATATAAAAATAAACAAAATTCAAAAATCAGAATCCTGACCATTATGAATAAAAAAAAGTATCAAAAAGGTAAAAGTTTACATTGTTGAGATTGTTTTGCATTTATTTAATTTTATTAAACTTTCTTGAAGCAAAGTAAAATACACTGGCCAACATTAAAACATAATTCAAATTACCTTTTTTGACTGTATTTCAAGCATTTTCAAGATGTAACTTTCCTAAATACATATGAAGCAGGAAGACAAAGAAATGGAGGAACATCTTCATTAATGCAATGTCCTAATGACCCATACACCACATGTGAATAACCAATTTTCACATAATAAGAGTATGGCAAAATATAATTAACACAAATTATACCTAACTTCATATCTGTGCCTCTAAATTACGTTAGCTTTTTTTTTTTTTTTTTTTTGGCCTCTGGCACATCACATACACAAATCTTCAAGGCATAATGGATATGTATAAATACTTGGTAAGCATGGGTTACTAGGCTACTCAGTGGTTGGATGAAGAAGGGACTTAGCGCTAGCTGTCAGGTGACTACTCTTTCAGTACTCCACTCTGCTACTAGGCCACAGAGCTTTGCAGCTATTTTGGACCGTAAGGATCACCCACTCAAACCTTTCACTGAAAAGATTCAAGACTAAAGCCTAGAAAAACAAATTCAGTGCCTTGCCCAAGCAAGCTAGTGAAGGGCCACATGGCCAGTGAAGGGCAGTCAGGAATCTAAACTGAATCCCTTTCACATTACAAAATTTCCAATTGATGGGATGCTACATAAACTGAGATTACAGGGGAAAGGATTTGTTGTTTTCTCATACGTATGAAAAGCTTTTGAGGTCAAAGATTTGAGAACTCAAACAGCCTCCTAACTAGTTATCTATTATTCACTGACATATGCCAGTCACAGGAATACAAAGATGAAAAAGACAGTCCTGGAGCTCAAGGAGCTTACAGGAGAGGGGAGGAACATTTCAATGGCAACAGAGCATGACAGAGCCAGGCATGGGGTGCTGCAGAAACTCAAAAAAGTGGCATCTAACACAGATGAGGGAAAAGCTCAGCAAGCAATGACTCCCAAGTCGGGAAGTAACAGCGACAGAATGGGGAAGGGAGCAGTTGAGGAGGAACAAGCTGGCTGTGCAGACTTCCAGTCTTGAGTTCATTTAAACAGCTGCAGTATAACTCCTTCATTCATGTATTAGCTTTTCAAATGACTAGCTTTCTTAGCATTTAGGTTGGAAGGAAACTCCTCAAATTTCGTCTAGGTATACTGAGATGAAAATTTTTGCCTGTTTTTGGAAATCCTAGCAAGAGCAATTAGGCAAAACAAAGAAAGACAGACATCCGAATCAGAAGGAGGAAGTCAAATTGCCCGTTTGCAGATGACATGATCTTATGTATAAAAAACTCTAAAAGCGCCACCAAAAAAACTTGTAGAACTTAATAAATTCATAAAGTTGCAGAATACAAAATCAACATTCAAAAGTTAGTAGCATTTCTATACACCACCTATGAACTTTCAGGGGGGAAGAAATCAAGAAAGCAATCCCATTTACAATAGTTACAAATAATTACAATACTTAATATATTTAAGATGAAAGAGCCAGGTGCAGTGACTCACACCTATAATCTCAGCACTTTGGGAGGCTGAGGCATGAGGATAGCTGGAGCCCAAGGGGATGAAAGATCTCTACAAGAAAAACTATAAAACACTAATGAAAGAAGTTGAAGAAGAAACAAAAATAAAGAGACATCCCCGTGTTCATGAATTAGAAGAATTAATATTGTGAAAATGATCACACTGCCAAAAGTGATCTACAGATTAAATGCAATCCCTATCAAAACACCAATGACATTCCTCACAGAAACAGAAAAAAAATACCAAAACTCATATGCACTCACACAAGTCCTTGAATAGCCAGAGCAATCCTGAGCAAAAATAACAAAGCTGGAAGCATCAGATCATCTGGCTTCAAAACATACTACAAAAAGCTACAGTGACCAAAACAGCATGATGCTAGCATAAAAACAGAAGCACTGGAACAGAACTAAGAACCAAGAACATCCAGAAATAAATCCACATATTTATAGCCAATCAGTTTTTGACAAAGGCATCAAGAACATTCGCTGGGAAATGCATGGTCTCATCAATAAGTGATGCTTGAATAAGTAAATATCCATACGGAGAAGAATGAAACTGGACTCTTTTCTTTCACCCTATAAAAAAATTAACTCCTGTTGGATTAAAGACTTAAATATAAGAGCTGAAACCATGAAACTGCTAAAAGAAAACACAGGGGAAACGTTTCAGAACATTGGTTTGGACAAAGATTTTATTGAGAAGACGTCAAAGGCACAAGCAACAAAAGCAAAAACAGACAAACTGGATTATATCAAACTAAAAAGCTTTTGCCTGGAAAAAAAATCAAGACTGAAAAGACAACCAGCAAAATGAGAGAAAATACCTGCAAGTTACTCATCCCACAAGGGATTAATACACTTTCCTTTGGATATATCCTTAGTGGTGGGACTGCTGACCACACGGTGTTCTATTTTTGTTTTGTTTCGGAGGAACCTCCATACTGTTTTCCATACTGGCCCTACTAATTTAAATTCCCAAGAAATTCTTATACAAGGAAGCCAAACAATTCAACAGAAAAAAATAAAAATAAAAACAAAATCCTATTAAAAAACGGGAAAATGAACTGAATAGACATCTCTCAAAAGAAGGTACACGAATGGCCAACAGGTATATGGAAAAACGTTCAACATCACTAATTACAAGGGAAATTCAAATCAAAACCACAATGAGATATCATCTCACCCTAGTTCGAATAGCTATTGCCAGATGGAAATAACAGGCACTAGGGATTCCAAAAGAGGGGAAGGGTTGGGAAGGGACAAAGACTGAAAAATTACCTACTGGGTACAATGTTCACTATTTGGGTACTGAATACCCTACAAGCCCCATCTCCTCCAATATGCAATACAGCCATGCAACAAACAAGCACATATACCCCCTAAAACTAAAAAAAGAAAAGAAAATCTATTACTGAAAAGACCAAAAAAATAACAAATGCCGGCAAGGACGCAGAGAAAGGGGAGTTCTCACATACTGTTGGTGGGAATTTAAATTAGTATAGCCATTACAGAAAACAGTATGGAAGTTCCTTAAAAAAACAAAAGTAGAGAGAAGAGACAAGGGCACGAGAATCGGATCACCATGCCTTTCTTGGACGTGCAGAAAAGGTTCAGCATTAACCTACATTGGTGGTGAACAATCCAAAGTGCTGAACAGCCCTAAAAGTTTCATGCTCGATGCCGTACTTTTGAAAAAGAATGGATAAAATGTGCACATGGAATCGGTACTAACCGGGTAGAGAAAGAGTGCAAGATGAAATATGATAATTTCATAGAGTGTATACTTTGGAAAAAAACAATGAAACGTATGGATACCATCTGGAGGCAACGGGAAAAACTGATGAAGGAAGGGAAGTCCACCCCTCCACCTTACCACATGGGCAAGGGGGAGCCTCGGCCCTAAGCAGACACAGCTACTGATATCTGGAGGCCGATTTTCATGTTCTCTGTTCTCCACTGGAAAGGTTGTTTATGGAAAACCTCCTTGTCAAAGTGTATAAAAATAAACTATTGCTCCATCCTAAAACAAACAAAAACAAAAAACAAAAGTAGAATGACCAGGTGACCAGCAGTCCCACTACTATTGGAGACACAGCCAAGGGAAAGGAAATCAGTGTACTGAAGTGTTTTCTGTACTCTCATGTTCACTACAGGTCTATATACGACAAGCTAAGATATGAATTCAACCTAAGTGTCCACCAATGGATGAATAAAGAAAATATGTTACATACAAACAACATAATACTATTCAGCCATAAAAAAGATTTAAGTTCTGTCATTCACAGGATGTTATGTTAAGTGAAATAAGCCTGGCACAGAAAGATAAATGCTGCATATTGGAACTCCTTCTTTGGATCCCCTCCCATGGCAGCATGGGAGCTGTCTCTCCTCTTTCTTTCTCTCTCTCTGCCTAATAAATTGCTCTCTGCAAACCTAAAAAAAAAATGCTGCATGTTTCACCCATATGTGGAAGCTAAAAATGTGATCCCAGGGAAGTAGAGGGTAGAATAATGCTTACTAGAGGATACTGGGGAGGTGAGCAGTAGCCAAAGGTTGGTTAACAGATACAAATTTACAGTGAGCATAGGAAGAATAAGTTCTAGCATTCTGTAGTACTGTAGGGAGAGTACAACAATTTATTGTATTTGTTCAAATAGCAAAAGAATGGATTTTGAATGTTCCCAAAACAAAAAAAATGATGTTTGGGGAGATGGATATGCTCACTATCCTTGATTTTACTATTACAAATTATGTACATGTATCAAAAATCACACTGTGCCCTATAAATATACACAATTATGTGTCAATAAATAATAAAAGCAAAAAATAAACATGTAAATACTTTAAAAACTTTTTAAAAGAAAAGACAAGGCAGGAAACTGGGAGAAAACCTTTGTAGAACATACCTGATAAAGGACTGTTTTCCATACTGGCCCTACTAATTTAAATTCCCAAGAAATTCTTATACAAAGAAGCCAAACAATTCAACAGCAAAAATATACAAAGTACTCAGTCTGCAACTGAGGGACAGTCTACAAAATATCTGATCACCAGGTCTCAAAAAGTGGTCATGGTCATCAAAAACAAAAAAAACCTGTGAAAAACTGTCAGGCCAAGAGGACCCTAAGAAGACAAGATGACTAAATTTAATGTGGTCTCCTGAATGGGATCTTGGAACTGAAAAGAATATTAAGTAAAAAAGAAATATTGGGGCCTGGCGCGGTGGCTCAAGCCTGTAATCCCAGCACTTTGGGAGGCTGAGGCGGGTGGATCACGAGGTCAAGAGATCGAGACCATCTTGGTCAATATGGTGAAACCCCGTCTCTACTAAAAAAATACAAAAAAA